ACAATCTTGAGTAAATCACATTTCAATTAATTTCAAGTGTCAGTTTGTAGAAGTTTGAGAATGAGCTGATTTTCAGCAAATACTATCAAAACATTGTAAAGTCTCAGACAAGTGACTCCAAATTCAACTTACAACTGTTGTATATTGTTCTTTAACCCTTACAAGTGGATCTAATATATTATTTATTAGAGTTTGTGTCTAAAATTAGAGCCTAAATGATGCAAGGATTTACCTACATCAGACTGATTAGATCTGCGGTTCCCAAACTTATTTAGCTGCGCACCCCCTTCTATGTCCCGACCATGTCGACGCACCGCTAAACAGTCACTCGCAAAACAGGGTTGAAAAAAATATGACCAACCTTTGTCCCCATCACTTTCATTTTTTAAATAGTAATTAATAAATATTCAATACCATTAGAATTTCCTTTGATTTAATTTTAAATAAATATTTAGAGTGCCCAGGTAGCACATGAAAAATGTAATTTAACGGTTTTCTTAAAGTAGGAACGTTTAACCTGTGGCCAGCGCTCTCTCCTTCTTTCTGCTCTGCGTAAACCTGAGCTGATCACCTACTTGTGCGTAATCAAATGTCTATAGGGGAAAAGATGGAAAAGCTATAGCCATGAGGTTCACTTTTGCCTCAGACCGACTTATTGCTGTTTTATGGTGTGGCTGAATCTGTGATCCGCAGCCACGCGGACTGGAATTAAAAATGCTGCAGTAACATGAGTTGTAGTCAGGTTCATGAGGAGTCACTAGCTGGAGCGGACTCGAATTTCATACGTCATCCCAAAATAGAAGCTTATATCTTAATTTGACCTTGAATGAAAAATGTTGTTATAAAACCTCTTGAAAGTTTTCATCACGGAGGAGGCAGCGCTCATTTCTGCCTTCAGTCTAACGGCGCAGCATGTGCTTATTGAATCTGTGTGTGTGTGTGTGTGTGTGTGTGTGTGTGTGTGTGTGTGTGTGCGTGCGTGAGTGCGGCACAGCTCCATGAGCCGCTCCAGTCACCGCGTCTCGTTATTGGCGCTATTTAAACCAATGTTGTAAAATAACTTCTGCCCAGCCCAGATGTGCTCACTTGTGCACCCGTGAGCCGTGGTTCCGCTGGAACGCGTCTGACCTCTGACAGACGCACTCTGAACTTCAGATCTTCAGCGCGCTGTTAATGGCCTGACACGTTTAGAATGCTGTCCCACAGTCAGTGTGCTAACATAATAATATAATAATGCTAAAATGCTCAGATGGGAATCATGTCTTGATTTATTTAGTTACATCCACAATGTTCTGTGTGTGAGGTTTACAATGTCAGAACACCTGCATGAGACAGGTGTTAATTACAATCTGCCAGAATGACTCGCCACCTTCAGATTTCTCCAACATCGTTAAAAATGATCAAATATTGAACATATCTTGCTACTGACAGCGTGCGCAGGCCAGAGCGCTGAAGCTCGGTGCATTATTATGAAGCTAGGGCACATGCGGAGGAGGACACACACACACACACGCGCAAAATATCCTTGTTTTGAATTGCATTTATTGGGCCCACTTACTTTTTCTTAGGCCCACCCACAAATGTTTCTGGCTACGCTAATGGTGACATATGACAGACTTCTCTGAGCTCCGCAGCCATTAGACTTTTCACCTCGTGCACCCTCTAGCGGCAGCTCTCGCACCCCCAGGGGTGCGCGCACCACACTTAGGGAATCCCTGGATTAGATAAATAACCTGAAGGTTGTTGAACGCTAATAATAGTCTATTTTTTAATTTAAATAAATCAAATTTTTGCAGTTTTTTCTGAGTTTTTCCAACACTTATCACATCTAAATATTTCTTTTATTCATCTGGAGGCTTTTTGCAGCAGCTGCTGGTGGCTTTCTCATTGATTTGTCTTCAAGGTTCACCATAGAAGTCCTCCTCACAAGGACAGTTTCCATCCTCTCGAGGGGCTTTCAGCCTGCACTCATTATGAGTCAGTCAAAAAGATTTCTGCTTTTATTTTTCAGTAATTCTTTTGTGCTGCTGGATGAGTGAATTCAAATGATTGTTTTGCTCTGGAGTTTCTGATAAAAGCATTTCTGACACCCGCAGACATCTCTCATATTCACTGAATACATTTTAACCATTTTTATGCAACAATAACAAAGAATGAATTCAGAACATGTTTTTAAATAGAACAAGTGAACATATGTTTTTATTTCGTGAATAAATAATTTGAATTCACCCTATGCCATAGACAATTGTTTTATTATAAGCCTTACTTCCCTGCCTTAACATGCCTCCATTTAAAAGGCTAGGTTATCCAGTTATCTCTGTAGTTATGCTGCTATAGGCTTAGACTGCTGGAGGACCTACTGACCACTTTCTACACTCTACTGCTTTCTTCTACAATTAGCTCTTTAACTGTATTATTTCCTGCTTTTTCAGCTGTTAAATTCATTTTTTCTCTAAGTGTTTTTTCTCCCCAGAAGAAGCTACAATGATGTTCTGCTGAGCTGTGGTAACCTCATGGAGGGGGCCATCGGCTTGAACACTGTTGGTAACCACTAACATTCTCCCTCTCCTGATAATAACTTTTTGCTTTCTTTGACATTGAATGTGCTACTACTAGTTTATCCGTTAAATCGTTAAATTATAGATTCACTAGAATAAATTCAATAAAGTTTATCTCTCACCAAATAGAATATTTACTAAGAAATCACAATGTAACTATAGAAACACTACTTGGTATATATGTTGTGGTGTGTGTGTGTGTGTGTGTGTGTGTGTGTGTGTGTGTGTGTGTGTGTGTGTGTGTGTGTGTGTGTGTGTGTGTGTGTGTGTGTGTGTGTGTGTGTGTGTGTGTGTGTGTGTGTGTGTGTGTGTGTCTACTCTGTCTTCTCGATCCCCAGTGAGTCGTGGAGGATGGCTGCTTATACTGAGCTAGGATCCTCTGGAGGTTTCTACCTGTTAAAAGGGAGTTTTCCTCTCCACTGTCGCTAAATGCTTGCTTAGTATGAGGATTGCTGTAAAGACTCTGACACTAGTCAGTGACTTGATGCAATCTGCTGGGTTCCTTATATAGGAAACTTTTTACTGATTGGCCTAATAAACTGGCCTGTATTGTCATGTTTACTGTGTGAAGTGCCTTGAGACGACTTTTGTCGTCACTTGGCGCTATATAAATAAACTTGAATTGAATTGAATTGTTGCTCATAAAAGTCTCTTAATCATGTTTGGTGTGTTCTTGCTGTGTAGAAATTCTAATTCCATCTTTTAGTTCTTTTTAAAACACAGACGGGTTTTATTTTTATTTACCTGCAACGTTTCGTTTGTGGCTGCAAACTTCGTCAGGCTGACGCTGATGGTGGCGTCACTTCCTTCTCCGTTTATCCACGGGCAGCAGAGGGCGACAACGCCCTCTGCTGCCCGCTCTCCCCTCTCCGACGATGCAGTCCCATGCGCGATCCAGCGTGTAAACTCCATCGTCTCTGTTCATGGTCCCACATCCACGTCTCCTTATCTCTATAGCTTCTTTTATCCATCTTTTGTATTTCTGTTGTTCGGTGTTTATGATCCTTGTGTTGTCCCAGTCCATTATATGGTTTTCTCTTGTGCAGTGTTCTGTTACGGCTGACTTCTTTATTGTGCTTTCTGCTTCTTCTTTTGTTGCTCTTGTGTGTTTTCAACTTGCTTCTTTCTCGCACTCCTTTCTATGTTCTATTGTTCGTGTGCTGAGTTGGCGTCTGGTTTCTCCTATGTATGTTTTATTGCAGAGTTTGCATGGGATTTTGTAAACAACTCCACATTTATGTCCAGCTGGTATCTTGTCTTTTGGGTGTACGAGTCTGTTTCTAACTGTTGTGTATGGTTTTGTTGGTGTGTTTATGTTGTGTTATTTCATTATTGCTCTTATTTTTTCTGCAACATTCACCGGTTTATCGGTCGATCTATGTCCCAATCCTCACCTATGGTCATGAGCTTTGGGTAATGACCGAAAGAACGAGATCGTGAATACAAGCGGCCGAAATGAGTTTCCTCTGTAGGGTGGCCGGGCTCAGCCTTACCCCTTCTTTCCACCGGAGCCGTCAGCAGCGCGAGTTGGCCGCGTCTCAGGAGCAGCATGTCGCGGCCATTACGCGCCGGTTCTATTTTCTACGTGCTACGCCTCTGAATCGGGTCAAGTTCAACATGTTTGGGGAAGGAAAGACAGGAAATCGGACGCGGAAACGGAGCGAAGCTTCCCAAGATTTTCAGAATAAAGAAACGAACTGCCTTGCGGTTGCTTTACTTAAAAAAAAAAGTTACTAACTGTGCGGCCCCGTGAGAAGTTATCACCTAGCTAGCGGCCTCCTTTGTTTTTCAGGTCCGTATTGGCGATTATGAAACGGACAGACGATAAAACACAAACCTTTTGGAGCCATGCTGTAGTTTTCTCCTGCTTGTTGTTGTGTTTACTGACAAAGTCACTCGTGTGACTTCGTGCTCTGTCAGTGACAGCTGCTCCCCTGCTGCTACGCGTCTCATGGGAAGGGCCGAGCAGCAGCTTACGCGAGCAAGACGTGCTGCTGCAGTAACATGCTGCTGACGGCTTCAGTAGAAAGGGGTTAGAGATAGGGTGAGGAGATCGGACATTTGGGAGGGACTCGGAGTAGAACCACTGCTCCTCCAGATCGAAAGGAGTCAGTTGAGGTGGTTTGGGCATCTGGTCAGGATGCCTCCTGAACGCCTCCCTGGGGAGGTATTTCGGGCATGTCCTGCCGGCAGGAGGCCCCCGGGTCGACCCAAGACACGTTGGAGAGGTTACATCTCCAATCTGGTTCGGGAACGCCTTGGGGTCCTGCCGGAGAAGCTGGTGGAGGTGGCTTGGGAGAGGACGGGCTGGATCTCCCTAGCTGGGATGCTGCCCCCGCGACCCGGATAAGCGGAGGAAGACGACAGTTGTGTTTTATAATGCCCATCCTTTTTCTTCCTCCTCTGAATAATAATAAATAATAACTTTTTGAGCCATCAACGTGGTTGTTAGTATTGTTTTTATTAATTCCAGCAGTAAGAATATTTTTGCTGTGACGTGTGCAGCCATACATCAACACATTATAGAAAACAGCAACATTATACATTCATGACCACAACTCACAACAACCCCTTTAAAAAGGAGTAAATAAGGATTGTGAATGGCTGCTTTCGTGTAAACAATGTGATTTTAAATAAGTTCACGAGGTCATACTCATACACTGAAATGTCACTACTGTATTTTTCTAACTTGAGCCGTCTCACCTTCATGTCATCGAACGCTCAAATGGACGTAGCGGAAGAAGCAAGGATGTAGAAAAGTCATCTGCAAAGAGCTGACCGAATCAATCAGTGCTACAGATTCTGGTGTTACAGCAACTTGCAGATTTTACTTTCCTCAGAAGCTCTCAGAGGGGAAAAAACCTGAGTGGATACCATCTAAAAAAGATTGTTCAGATCTTTATGAACCTTTAAAATCTCACCTGATTATTAGCTCTATGAACAACCTCAGTTTGAAGAAATAGAGATTTGTTCTGTTTGGACTAATAGGCTAAGTACTAGTTCTAGTGAAGCAAAGTTGTCCTAAAATGATTCAGTATCAAACACTGCATAGCAATTCCTGATAGTCCTACAATGTTACCCTAGGAAAAAAAATATGCCAAAAGCATTAGCTAGATGCTAATTTCAGATGGAAAAACTAAGCTAGCCATAAAATGCTCAGTTAAAAGGAAAAAAGGTAGAAAACTTTTGACATTGGATTTGTTTTAAGACTACAAAAATGCACCTTGTAACTGGTTTTGCTGAAACTAGTCATTAGCTCAGAAATGATCATTATTTCAATAAACTGAGGTTGTTCACAGAGCCACAAAACAGGCAAGATATTAATATTGTTTCCACAAGAACCCACTTTTAAAGACCTGACCGATCTCTTTAAGACCTGAGGCAACATTAATATGTATTTTATGAATCCTAACACATAAATAACAAACTAACTGCTCTACTTTGCTTTCCAGATTCTCCTCTTGATAAAATAAAATAGAAATTAAAGTAAAAAGGGGCTTTAATGGATCTGCAGACACACACACATTTTAAGGTGTTACGGAGTGTGTTTTAGGTAAAAAGAAAGAAGAAAATAAACGATACATTCATGTGGACTCATTTTAGTTCTGAGTGCATTTTCATTCATTTAAAGTCAAAGTGATGTTTAAAAGAAAAAGAACCCAACGCTGCTGCTGGTTCGACAGAAAGTATGACATTTCAAGTCGAACAGAAAGCGATTGATTCCTCCGTCAGGATGAAAACAGAAATGGAGCCTTCTTTGGCGACACATCTGTCTCAAACATCCAACACCTCCGTCACAGAACCGCTCTTGTGCCGATGCAGCGCTCTCACGGTCCAGCAGGGTGTCAGGAAAACACTAACAGAAACTATAAGAACATTTTTAACCATCGGTCAAATTAGAGAAATTATGAGTAGCCCCGTCATGGAGAGACATTCGTGTTTTCCAAAAAAAAAATAAAATAAAAAAATAAAAAACAATGTTCCCTTTATATGTAAAGAACTGCTCATGCAAGTATAATATTGCTAAATATTCATAGAAGCATTCCCTTTCTGAAACCAAATAAAGATGAACAGAAATGTTATGCGTTCTGCTTAACCCTTATGTGTTAACACCAAAACTTTGCACTCCCGCTCAGATATGCAGATGCTCACACGGCTCTGCCACTGTGAGAACACATGAGCGTGTTTTAAAAGTTCAAGTTCAAGTTGTGTGAATGAATCTCCAGTTTCTTTTTGACCCTTCTTCAGAGTCTGAAAGAATTTAGCCCGGGTGACCCTGATGTGACCCCCCCGCCTCCCCTCCCCTCTCACACAGAGATTGTGGACGAGTGCCAAGCCAGCAGCATACTCCAACCTGAAGTAGCTCCAGACCAACACGCTGGCTGGTGATTGCCTGCTCTGCTCTGAGAGAACAGCACCCTCCTCGCCTCCCATTGGTCCGATGGCGAGCCGTCCTCTTCGCGGATTCATGTGATGCTGAAACATCCTGGTGAGGCGGTGTTCGACGCTGCACCACATGAAAAAGTGAAGTGAATCCTCGTTCACGTCGTGAAACCAGAGTTAAAGACAAACAAATGGAAGGGGTCCAATCTCAGGACTGCTTCCGGAAGGTGAAGATGTCCCGCTTTTTGGAGCCTCTCTTGCCGTTTGGTGGAGGTGTGGGGGTGTGGTTGGGTGAGGACGATGGAGAGGGTGAGGAGTTCTGAGGAGTGGAGGTGCCACCATAGGGGCAGCTCTGGGAGTCCGGGTGCTCCCCTGAACACTCTACGGTGGGGATGTAGCGGCTGTCCCACATTCCCGGGCCACAGAGTTTACAAAGGTCGTGCAGGCTGCACGGGATCCTGGGAAGGAGGCGGAACTGGTACAGGAGGCTGCGGGCCTGCAGGGAGCAGAGAGGACGAACCAAAATAAAAGAGAGAGGTCTCAGTGGACGCAAACGTAGCACAGTCGAGCATTACAATAAATCAATAGCTCTGTCTGTTGGCTAAAAGCTAACAAAGAGCAGTCAAGGTCAGAGTCACGGGGAAGTTCAGGACTGCAGCTCGAAAGCATGAATGCTTGCTTCTAAATGCAAGAAATAAAATCTCACACAACAACAAAAGGGCCTAGCTGCACGCTAACAAACATGCACTGCCTGTGGCTGCAGCAGTTCTAACGCAGCATACATAAAGATGAGGGAGCAGGCACTCCAGCAGAAATGGAGGTCATAAATCCTCCGCACGGCATGACAGCATCCCATTTCTGAGCTCAAGGCCTGTGAGGGCCGTTTACAGCACGTCGGTTACTGGGACCAACGCGAGGTTTTGACTAAATGAGAAGAAACAACCGGATGGTAGGAAACTCTAAGATGATTTGGATAAAAACACAGAATTCAAAAGTATTACCTTGCGTAGCACCAGCTCTCCGTTCATGTGCATGGAGAGATTGCTGAAGTGGAGCAGCATTTGGTCTGTGGCGAGCTGCTGCTCCGTCACGTCCTCCCCGTAGAGGACAATGATGGCCACGCACAAGAACAGGTGGAAGTAGTCCGTCTGCAGGTAGACGGGTACATTTTTCATTTACCTAATCTAGCATGAACACACGTAAACTGTTCCTTCTACTCATGCAAACCAACAACTGAAACTACAGGGTTCCCATTTAGGCAGAGGAATTTACAAAAACTAAACAGAAGCAAACAATAACTGCATTTATTTACTCTTGACACCAGAATGAGTGTGTGAACGTATTACTTATAAAATCACGTGGAAGTTGTAACTAGAAACTGCTTTTAAACCGCTCATCCCTTCATCTGTTCTTGGTGCAGGTGTGCTACAATTTATTAGGTTTCTTTAAGACGTGTCTCCACTTCGTGCCTGATTAAGGATCTGGTTCACATGATGCACCTTTAAACAGTTTGCATTGAAACAATTCAGACCACGACATCATAGCCTTCCGCTGAGACCCAGCACCACCCGACACCTCCTCTTCACACAAATATCCGATACCAATCAGAAGTTCAGGCTTACGGCTGATCGGGTACGCGGCAGACAACCGTCTGTGTGCTATCGCCTCCATCAGCAGCTGCAACTGAAGGTCTGAACAAGTAGCTGGTGTCTGAGCAGATGGCTCGAAAGGGAAACACTGATATTTGAGGCAGGAGGTTCGGCTCCTGATGAGTTAGTTAACTGGACTCTGATAAACACACAACAGTGGGATGAGACACATATAGTGCTAAGCATAAATGGGTACACCCCCTTTATAAAGTGCTAATTTAATCAGTAGCTCAGTGAATAAAAGGCTGGGTTTTACTGAACACTTGTTTAACTCCAGAACATTAAATTAAGGTTAATGATATAACTTAAGATCACAAAATCTTCAGTTTTACTCTAACTGGTTGAAGCAAAAATAAATATCCTGCAACAAAAACTACTACTTCTAGTATTTAGTATGACCACTGTGATTTTTAAGGACAGTACCACGTCTTCTAGGCATGGAATGAACAAGTTGGCGACATATTTCAACATCTATCTTTTTCCGTTCTTCAGGAATAAAATCTTTTAGAGCCTGGATGCCGGATGGAGAGTAAAGCTATACTTGCCAATTCAGAATTCCCCACAGATGTTGGAAAAGTGCAAAAAGTGATGGCAGCATCTTCTACTTCAGTATCTGTTAGGTAATTTTATTTCCCATCCAGGGTTAGAGTACATTGTTGAGTTCACAATACCATCAATGAAATGCAGCTCCCCAACATAAGGAGCACTCACGCAGCCCCACATAAGGACACTGCCACCACCATGCTTCACTGTAGGCACCATGCATTTCTCTGAAATTCTCACCTTTATGACGCCAAACAATTTTGAAACCATTAGTTCCAACAACAGTGATCTTTATCTCATCACTCTAGAGTAGGTCGCAGTAGCTTTCACCTCTTTCAGCATGGGCCATAGCTAATCCTAGGTGTACTTTTTTTGGACACCGACAGGAGAGGCTTCCTTCGTGGAAGATACCCATGCATGCCATTCCTCAGCAGTGTGTGCCGTGTTGGTGTTACTGGAAACGATCACTCCAGTTTGGCTTTCTACTGCTTTAGCTAACTGCAGTGAACTTGCATGGCGATTTTCTCGCAAAGTTAACGCTCCTGTCGAGATGTTAACTTCCGTGGACGGCCCTCTGAGATGGTTGCACTTCCATCTTTCTTAAATGTTTGGATGAATTTTGCTACAGAATCAGAATCAGAATAAGCTTTATTGCCAGCGCTCCAGAGCATAGGAACTTGACTCCGCAAACACCACCTGACCAAGGTTAAACACACACACATGTGGACAAAAACAGGTACAGGCAGTCACGAGAGCAGCCAGAACGGCGCTCATTTCATTGGATGAAAAGGGTGTTACATGAGGATAATTGGGGTAAGGTAAAAAAGGCATAGCAGAGTTAGTCCCAGCAGGGAGTAGCTCTATTATACAAAAAACTCCTCAACGTAGAAGCACGAACATCACAGTTACAAAACATCAGAGTCCGATAGGGAGGCGGGGTGTGGCGGGATCCTGAATCCTCCAACGGGAGCTGCCAGTACGGCGCTCAGCCAGCTGCAGTCAAACAGGTGGGAGGGAGAAATGAGGGACAGAGAGCACATTGAGTTTCCTGCAGGTTGATGACCTCGAAGCAGAAGTCACAATCTGAAGGCAGGGGGGGAAGGTCGGGTCACAGCATCTGTCAGCATTCCTCCTTTCGTGGGGGTGTGTTGATGGCAGCCTTGGAGGCTGCCTTGGCGTCAGATAAGGATAAACAAGACTTTGTTTAGGGCAGGCAGAGATAATTTTCCTCTCTGCCTTGGAGTCTATAAGTGATCATTCATGTCCACCAGTGAAGCCAATTATACGTTCTAAACATCCCCACACCGTCCGGCGACCCTCTCCAAGATGACATCCATCTTGCGCACTAACACAGGCAACGCCACAAGGACATTGTCCAGCTTACGGTTCACCTCGAGTAACGTCCCAGTCTGTGAAGTCACCGCACGGGCGGCACATTCCGTGGGTACGGGTCGCACTCCAATCGCTCCCGTCTTCCCAAATTTCCAGAAAATCAGATATCCTCCCACTCCAATCAGAAGAAATCCAGTGATCATCAGGGCGAATATCCACAAATCTTCCACGTCCTCGATGGACAACTGAGAGAGGCACACGATTCGCCAGACCTCCCTAGAATCGAGCGCATATCCCGCTGCGAATGTCCCCTCGGGACAGGTGGGAGCGCCCTTCTCCGTTCTCATCGTAGAAAAAATCTTATCAGTCGCGTTGAATGACCAGTTAATTAAGTCCATTTTCCAAAAAAGAAGTAGTGATTTCAGGAGAAATGCAGAGAAGTGCTCTATAGGCAGACAAGACAGAGAGCCTTGGGGAAGCAGATAAGGGAGCTGAAGAAAAAGCGTCTGTACTCTCTGAGAGCCGGATAAGAAATACAGTATTCTGACTGACGTGTAAAGTTTTGCTGATCTTCTTATAGCCTATTCACCTTTTGTGTAAAGAAATGATTTCCTTTCTCAGATTTTGTGACACTTCTCTTTCACGTGGAACCACTGCTGACAGCATGAAATGGGAAGGGCTTGTCTTTTATGAGTAATGCCCTTATATAGGGCGGGGCAGCAGTAGCTCAACAGGTTGAGCGGGTTGTCCAGTAATCGGAAGGTTGCAGGTTCGATACCGGCTCCGGACAGAGAATTCTGCTGTTGTGTCCTTGGGCAAGACACTCAACCCACCTTGCCTGCTGGTGGTGGTCAGAGGGACCGGTGGCGCCTGTGCTCGGCAGCCTCGCCTCTGTCAGTGCGCCCCAGGGCAGCTGTGGCTACATCGTAGCTCATCACCATCAGTGTGTGAATGTGAGTATGAATGGATGAATGATACACTGTAGTGTAAAGCGCTTTGGAGTCCTTACTCTGAGAGGCGCTATACAAGTGCGGGTCATTTATCATTTATAGTCACCTGTCTGCTGGACACCTCATTTTTACAGCATGGGTTTGAATGGATTTGTAGGAAAAATCACTTTTTAGTGTTTTCAAGCAATGGCCCACATTTGTGGGAGTATTGGGTAGTTTGGTTCTCATAGAAAATGTTGATTCTGAAAGGAAACTAAAGGTTTTCTGGCAAATGTACTGAGGTGGACTCATTAATGCTGAGCAGCGCATATACCATTTTATTTTATCTATACAACAAAACCTGGAAGATTTCTGCAAACCGCAGAAATGTGAAAGAATGTTACGTTCCTTTTAGCTATTAGCAGGATCAGGTTTTTGCCTCGTGGAAAGTCAGCACAACCTTGGACATTAGCTTCACTGATCGCCTCTGTGAACCTCCACAGAGTGCTGCATTTAAGTTGCGTATGCAAGGGGCCGTCTGGACTGGTCCTGACCTGGTAGTGTGCCCAGCAGGCCTCCCACATGCGCAGGGCCTCGGTGTCGGGGAACTCCCTTTTGAAGCAGAGCAGGATCCAGCGATGACAGAACAGCAGCTGGAGGCCGTCCTCGCCGAGCCACGTCAGGTGCTGGTGGAAGCGCGGCAGCATGAGGCGCAGTAGCTCCCGCAGGTACATCTGGGAGGAAAAGGGGATTTTCTCATGCTCAGACTAAAATAATCAATTGAAGTGTTTTCCTTTTAATTTTAAATAAATTTTCCAGTAATCATCCTAAAAATATCCCAGTAAAGATGGTGGACTGATCTTCTTTCAGTAAGGTATTGAAGAAAGGTGGTTCAACCAATTAGTATTATCTTAGTTTTCAAGAGTTTGTGTTGATTTAAGTGTTGTTTGCATTTTACCTTTGGAAATACGTGTAAACAGATATTCTGGTTTCACTTTTTCAACAGCAGAAACCCTCAAGTCTTGTTATTTCTACACACCAAGACACATCACTTATTTATGACCATTTCTTTGAATGCACGAGTGAGGGACCACATGATGAGGCTCACTGTAGAACCTAAAAACCAACCTTAATCATACTTTTCATACATTTGCAGCGGTCTCCAGTAGGAATGAATGCCATTAAGCAGGGATTCACTGATATTCTGGGCCGATACCGATATTCTATATTAACATGAGTGTTGCCAAGCCATAGCAACCCCAAGATTAGGCTTAGCAACCCCATCTCTTGAAAGCCCCTCTCCCTTACCCCCGCGCTCGCTCCGTGCCAACGTGCGCCGGCCTACAAGTAGCGTGACCAGGCCCTGCCCCGCATTTTTGACAGTCTCCCGTTTCCTGTTTAAATCTTGCATAAACTGCGTGGAGAAAACCGTGGCTGGTATCAAACCAGGAGGCGGGACTTTTAACGCAGGTCCGGAGCGTGTGGAGCGCTCCCGAGCCACCAAAACGAATGAGTTGAATGTGCTGTTTAAAAAAATGATGTCGTGATGTTTGTCTTAATCATTTCTCCGTGACACGGTGACGAGTCTGACATGAATCTGAAGAAAATCTAAGAGTCATAAACCATGTTGGTCAAAAGCAGGTGTCCCAGTGATTAGACAGGTTCAATCCACAGATTATAACACAGATGAGGTGCTGGGTTGAGAGGACTGAACAGAAGCCTTGACCTAGTCTAAGACTTCTGAGAAAGTAAGTCAGGATAAACTGGTTAAACCTGCACATTTTTATTGAATTTAACTTACATTTTTAAAAATTTCACTGTTTTAAGATGATTAGCTAAAGTTACTCAGAGCCACTGTAGAAGTGCCTGTACAGCAACTGCTGGTAAAGAATCCTTGAGCCACCCATGCATATTAATATATATGTTAATAAATGACTAGTATCGATGAATATCGATGTCGATGCTGATTTAACGTGCATCGCCACCTTTAACTCGTTCTCTGGGGAAAAAAGCTCAGATGCACTTATTTGAGGTTGTAGATGTGAGCTGGAGGAGAAAGAAGATGGCAGGATTTGAAGTCTTATTTCCTGATATTTGGACATCTCGTCTCTGATTGGATAACAGCAACACGACTCAACCACTGACTCCATTTGCTCTGCAACACGGATGCTTATTCTTCACAAATAACACAAGCCCGAAGGAGTTCTGCCGTGTGGTGGAGTTGCTAATGCTAACATTAGCTTCTACTAGCTGAGACGTTCTCTGCCGTTTCCTGGACACCAAAACAACATTCTTGAACCCTAACATTTCACCGTCTACCAGAAGGAAATAGGTGTAGAAGATTAGAGACAACAAACAAGAACCTTCTAGAAGTTCCAAAGACTAGATAGAAAAGTCGAGGTGATCGCTCTCCAGGCTGTTGCACCCTGACATTTGGATGAACTTCCTTTAACCTAATGTAGTACGATGGCTTTCACTCAAATCTTTAGTGTTTTTTTTCTTTTTTCCAACTTTCTTTTCTTTTTTCCATCTTTAAAGTGTTTTTTATTATATTTTATTTGTTTTATGATATGTTTGATTTGTAATTTTATGACTTTCATTTAAAACTGCTTCTAAATAAATTTTCTGATTTTATTTATCTTTCATCTTTTTTATGATATTTTGTTTTTAGGATAGGATAATCGTTGTTGTGATGTTTCTTTTATGTGATAAGTGCTATATGATGAAACTTTATTTACTATTTTCACCTTCAGCCTGCACGATGAACTCAGTGACTGATCGTTTTCAAAAATAATAAGTAAAAAAGAGCTTCTTAGTGAAAGTGCTCTTTAAATAAAATCCATGGACTTTACAGGAAGGGATGTTCCCAGTGTTTCAGGAGCGTCCTACCAGCTGCCGCTCCATGTCTTCATCCCGCGGGGAGCTGATGAAGATGGTGTTCTCCATGAGGCCGACAAAGCACCAAAACGTGTCGCTTTCATCCTGGATCTCCGTGAGCAGCGGCGCGACCAGGTCAGACATGCCCTGGCAGTAACCCATGTCGGGATTAAACACCGCATAGTTGAGCAGAATTCGCCTGAGGCGGGAACAAACACGGGGCTGTTGTAACATCTTGACAGCACTTCTCCTTTCAAGTGGGTTACACTATCAACATTTCACCTTCTGGAACGTTTTCAAATAAAAACCCTAAAAACTCTGAATGAGCCAGAAGGTTTCAGTATTTCTAGTTTAAAAAATAAAAAATAAAACCTCAACAATATCTTAAGCTGTTGCCATGACAACTCCTCTGGTAACCAGGGAGCTAATTAACAATTTCTTTCTTTTTCAGACGTGCACTACTTTGAGAAAACTTCTCTGGCAGTCCTCATGCATTAATAAGTATCGTCTAAACAAAGACAAAACCCAGAGGAGTGTGAATTGCTGTGCGGCAGCAGTGGGATGATTTTTCTGAAGCAGCAGCTTCGGCAGATAAGCACGTGTGTGATGTCGCTGCAGTTGATGTGCGGCGATCGGGGACGATGCCGGCCAGCTTCAGACCTAATTCTAAAATAAATATCAGGAGCCTCCATCAGAGTGGCTAAACTAACATGCTATTTAAATCTTCTCGCCCCTCGTTTAGAAAGCCATTAGCTCTGAGCATGCATCGAAAGTAGTCAGATGGCTTAGTCAGAGTCAATAAAGCATGAAACTCATGCGCAGCTCCCTCAGGGTTCAGAATCTGAAATTAATACTGCAGCTACGTGGAGCTGAGAGAGGGGAATGACAAGGATGGACCAAGACAGGAAAACAGATTACAGGTGTGGATAAAAACGATTGGGAGGAAAGAAAAACTCACAACTGTCAATAAATCAGCTCAAATAAATAAAACACTGGAAACTAGCTCATGAAAATGAGACATTGGTTTAAAATGAGGTTAAATAAAATAAAAACAAAGGATTCAAATCTTCTCAAAATGAACAGATGCTAATCTGACCAGATGCAGCAGAACAGAACTGAACCAAGGCTCCTCCAGCATTCTTCTCTTTTCATCCGATGGGTTTAGTAAATAATCTCAACAGGACTCCTCTCCTACCTTTATTTATGTTGGATTATTCGATTTTCAGAAACATTTTCATCATTACTGGAATCAGTGCAACAGTTTCATCCACGTCTACAAACCAAAGGGACGTGAGTAAAAGCCCGAGGAGAGTCTGACCTCATGATCTCCACGTTGGGGTTATTCTCTCCTCTAAAGAACTGGTTGCTGCGGTCCGTTCTGACCACGTCTTTGTCCACGGTGAACTGGACCTTCCTCCAGAACTCACTGTGCTCCTCTGGGCTCATGGACAATCTGCAGCACCACACACAGATCACACAGAACTCACACCTCAGTTACGCTTCTTTTCCTGCAGAGTAACCATCTAAAAACATACAAAGTCATTACGAAACGCCACTCCGGTGTAATGTTCAAACTGTGTGGGGGGTGGGCGAGTGATCAGTGGAGCGAAGAGCTCCCCTGAGAATTAAACCACAACCATAAACCCCCCCCCCCCCCCCCCCATCCGCCCTTTTAGATGTTAAGGAGAACATTAACAGTGTTCTCGGAGCAAGGCGCTGATGTACTCGAGTCCTAACAAGCAGAGGGGATTTAATTAACACTGTTTGTTTTCCACAAGGCCCCAGCAGGAATAATGCACACACCTGATGCAACTCCACGCAACTGTTCCCTTTTAGCGCTAGCTGTTTGTTTGGCTGGACCCTCCCCAGCCACCGCCGTGCCTCTCCGTTTCTCAAGAGGACGCCGCTCCCGAGTTTGGATCGTGTTTTTATCACTTTATGGTTCAGCAACAGTTACACGCGAGCAGTGCCGGCTGACTCCGAGACCCGATCCGTGTCGTTAAAACGATCTAAATCTTTTTAAAGGCCTTGCAGAGAACTCAGCACATTATAGGACATAAGTTTTAAACTCTTTTACCTACAAGAGGAGTTTGTTTCCTAAACGTCCTCATACGGTCTAAAACTGAGACATAAGAGTTTTCTGGATGGTCTGAAGACCACTGGCTGGAATCGGACTGGATTTTGTCACAAAGTCTTTTTTATTTCAAGTATCTTATGAAAAACCTCCAGACTGACGTGGCGACGTGCGCTGGTACAAATGTGATGTTGTTGGGGTTTTATACCTCAAAGGCAAAGAAGTTTATTTATTTATGAATAAAGTTAATCACACTTAAAATTTAGGAAACATCCAAGTTGAACCTGAAACAAACAAACAAACAAATCAGGAAAGGATTTTCTAAAAGAAATTATGTTCAAAACCAACTGAATTCAATTCAAGTTCAATTCTAGTTTATTTATATAACACCAAATCACGACAAGCGTCGTCTCAAAGCACTTCACATAATAAACATTCCAATACAGGTCAGTTCATTAGTCCAATCAGAAAAAAAGTTTCCTATATAAGGAACCCAGCAAATTGCATCAAGTCACTGCGCAAGCATGTAGCGACAGTGGAGAGGAAAACTCCCTTTTAACAGGAAGAAACCTCCAGAGGATCCTGGCTCAGTATAAGCAGCCATCCGCCATGACTCACTGGGGATCGAGAAGACAGAGCACACACACACACACACACACACACGCACGCACGCACGCACGCACGCACGCACACACACCAAGTAGTGTTTCCATGGTTACACTGTGATTTCTTAGTAAATATTCTATTTGGTGAGAGATAAACTTTATTGTATTTATCCTAGTGAATCTATAATTCAACAGGTAAACTAGTAGTAGCACATTCAATGTCAAAGAAAGTAAAACGTTCTTATCAGGAGAGGGAGAATGTTTAAGTGGTTAGCAGCAGTGTTCAAGCCGATGGCCCCCTCCATGGGGCTGAAACATGATGGAGTTAAACTACTTTAGAGAGATTCACCCCAACAGTGATGTCGGAGATGGTGGAAAACGAAAATTTTACCTTCTGTAAAAATCACTTCAAACAGCCTCAGGTTGAAGAAACAGAGACTGGTTCTGATCAGACATTTGTCCAAGTGAGACTAAAGCCAAAGCATGTCTTTAAACATCTCTAATCTAATCTAATCTAATTTAATCTATTCTAATCACTGAGAATTAATCAATCAATCCATTAATTCTTGGGCCCACACAGTAGTGATGGAATGTAACGAGGTACAAGTACTTCATTACTGTACTTGAGTACACTTGTTTTATATATCTGTACTTCACTTTTATTTGAGGCCTACTTTTTACTCTACTACATTTTCAAAAGTTTCAAAAGCAAAAGTATCTCAATTAGCGTTTTATCCGACCCCCACTCACACCTGGTCTGATGGAGATCTGCAGCACGCCTGCACTGTAGTTCCACAAGTAATAGTACTTTATTTTGTGTTTAGCCCCCTCCCCCAGTCCAACAGCACACTTCTACTCACACTTTAAAGGTTGGCTAAATATTTTTAGTAGAACTGAAAATGCATTCTTTAATACTTTTACTGAAATAAAATAATTAGATACTTCCACTTTTACATAAGTATATTTTTTACCTTTTAAACTACTTTACATTCAGTTTCAAAGTAGCCAAAAGTAGGAATGAGAAAATGTAGCATTTAAAACAATCTAAGGCTACTCAAGCAGACATAAGCAAGAAATAAATATTTCAACATTATCCAGAAAAAAAATGTTGCTGTTGTCGCCAAACGTAAAAATCTTTTTTTTAAAGGCTTGAAAAGCATCCTGTTGAATGTGGCTGCAGCTCTGAACGTGAACAGACCACATCAGCTAAAATAAGTTTTCTTTTCCCCGAGCAAACACAAACAGACTAGACATTCAAGCTGACGAAGTCCGAGAGGAGACTTATCTTTCTGAGCGCTCCTTTTCTGTGGCCGTCTCCAAGTTTAGGTCCTCCACCACCTCTCTTACCTATGGTGTCCCACAAGGTTCTGTGCTGGGGCCTCTACTCTTTCTCCTCTATCTGCTTCCTCTTCAGCACATCCTGAGCTCCTTCAAAGGAATCTCCTATCATCTTTACGCAGATGACATCCAACTGTACATCTCCTTTAAGCCCCATGAGATGTCTAAGCTGCAGCTGTTACACACCTGCTTAGACTCTATCAAAATCTGGATGGCTGGGAGCTTTCTTCAGCTGAATGAAGACTGAGATCCTCATCTGTGCTCCAGACAAGCTGGTTCCCAAAGTCAGAGACTCTCTTGGTCAGCTTGCTTCTCACACCAAACCTTCCGTCAGGAATCTTGGCGTGACCTTTGACCCAGCTCTCACCCTGGATTCTCATGTCAGTTCTCTTGTTTGCTCTTCCTTCTTCCATCTCAGGAACATTGCTAAGCTGAGTCCCATTCTGCCTCGCTCTGAACTTGAGACAGTTCTCCACACCTTCATCTCCTCACGCTTAGACTACTGTAACTCTCTTTTCACGTGTCTGAGCAGAACCTCCCTGAACCGTCTACAGGTGGTTCAGAATGCCTGTGCTCGGCTTCTGACCAAGTCCTCCAAACACACCCACATCACCCCGCTTCTCCTCCAGCTTCACTGGCTGCCAGTCAACTTCAGGGTTCATTTCAAGATCCTGGTTCTGGTCTATAGGGCCTTACATGGACAAGCACCATCTTACATCGGTGATCTTCTTAGTCCCTACACCCCCAGCAGGTCCCTGAGGTCCAGTGATCAAAGCCTACTGGTTGTGCAGCGCACCAGTCTAAAGGTCAAAGGTGACAGATCATCTGCTGTTGTGGCCCCCAGACTCTGGAACTCTCTCCCCCTGAGCCTGAGATCAGTGGACTCAGTGGTCTCCTTTAAAAAGCAGCACTTATTAAACGTTCGTAGAAACTGTCCTATATTCCCCCTTGAGACCGAAATTTAGAATGTGTGTATGAACAGTCAGAATACTGATTTATGAAACGTGCGGCGGCCTCTCGTATGCACGTTCCTACGCAATCGTCTGATAATAAATCCCACCTGTGCGTATGCAGGTGCTCGCGTTCGTTCACGTCATTTACAAACAGAAACGCCCTCAATTAACCATATTTGGTCACGCTACGTCCTCAGCACGTGAGGGGGTTCCCTGATTTTTCCCAGGAAAAATCAGAAAATCTTTATTGACAATTAAATCGAAACACTGGCTGCAAAAATAACCAAAAAGTTGAAGAGGTTATAAACTCGGTCAGGACAGAGGAGAGGCTCCTGTCAGGAATAAAGTCATCATGGCTAAGAGGAGGACACGAGGCTGGGAGACGAGGAGCCGATCCGATCGTTCCTAATGATCAACCAGTGGCCTTGGAGGCCGCTCCAGTCCGAGTGTCTTTAAGGAGGACTGTAATTAACCGACTCTGATAAAACCTGAGCTCTACTCAGAACAGTAACAAGCCACGCAGATGGAACCTGTCCAATTATCACGTTCATTACAGTTGGAGCCACAGAACGTGTGAAAATATTCACACACTTAACCTTCTGACGGTGGGGAGGAGATGCATGAAGCTTCCCGAGTCTTTCAGGAGTGTGTGTGTGTGTGTGTGCGCATACCAAAGCTGTGTTTTTTCCCCTCCCTCTGACAGAAGAGTATGATCTGATAAGCGCTGACATGTTTTTCCTCCAGAGACCTTTTATATCACACCCGGCACCTCCCCTTAACACTTCTCTGATTGTGCGTATTGATTGCTCAGCGCCTGGGATGAGAAGCCACAACAGACTCACATATGGTTTAATGTTTGACTGAGCATTTGGCAGCCCGCGCTGCAGCCGCGTGTCAGATTATCTGCAGCCTGACGGAGACGAGGACACCGCTGCGTCTCCGACTCCAAAGGGGCGTTGAATTAACCGCAACATATTTGTGCAGCCCACCTCCCCTGCTGAATGTCATGATAGTGAGCACGCTTCTGCATCCTCCAGGCCTCCCTCTCCTCGGAGGTGGAATCGTAGCTGTAGTAGTGCAGCAGGAAGGGCCACACCTCGCCGCGGATGGACGGGTCGATCCCGCCAAAAAAGATGGCCTGGTGAGGAATGGACAGAGAGCCGATTAGAGAAAACGTTACGCATCGCTGCACAAAGACACAAAACTTCTTTAATCAGCATGTTCTGCAAAAAACTGAAAACAGAGCTGCTCCGTTCCTCCACTTCAGTCCGGAAACATCTTGGTGACGGTCTAACTGCCACTGAGTCATCACAGGACAGTAAACCAAGAAGTGAGTCAATTCCAGAGGAGTGAAATGACTCAGAGGGGTACTCTAACCAGGACCGACTCTTTCAGTGTTTACACAGAGCTGCGCCGATCGAAACTGAAAACTGCAGCAGCCTTTTCTAAATTACTTGTGGGAGCGATTTGGTACAAAACGTGTGAAAATCTGAAGCTCGGCTCTCCTATAAAGAACAAAAGCAACATATTCACTCCTTCTGGATGTATAAAATCACCTTCCGCAGCTTGTACTCCTCCTCCACCTGGCCGCTGTGGTTGAGGTGACGTAGCCAGGCAGAGACGTCCACCCGTCGGTAGAGCCTCTCCTCCGGGTGGGTCTCAGCTGACGGCAGAGTGGACCTCTGGATGGAAAACTGCATGCAGGACTTTTCGTCCGAAACCTGAAAAAAGCAATAAACAAACATCTGTCCAGAATTTCCATCCAGCAGACAAATGAAGACATAGAGACTGAGACAATTTCACCTGATCTTTCAGCTGCGTTTCCCTGCAGCACTTCCACTGCTGGAAGACCTCGGCCAGCTTATCCAGGCCAGCGTGGTGGAAGTGGAGGATCTTGTACTGACTCTCTCTGCTAGCGATCACAAGCTGCCCGCTGGTGCACGCCTCATCACTGAAACAAAGCCAAGGTGAACAAAGATGGCCATCCCTCCTGGAACCAACAGCAATGCTCAGGGCTCTCTGCTGACCTGAAGAAGAGTCTGAGTGACCTCATGTGACCCAGGTCCACCCTGAAGACTCCACACAGCTGCTCCAGCGCCAGCAGCTTCTGCTGCTCCTCCCAGCGCATGCCTTGTGACCGGCCGCTGCTCTCCGAGTGAGCGTGGCTGTCCAGGCTCGACGCTGAGCTAGCAGAGTGGTTCATGGACTCCTCGCACATCTCCCTGACAAAAACATACAGAATTGAACTCATTTTAGGTTGGATTTTTTTCATGCCGGGTGCAACATCTAAAACTTTGTACACATTTACATGTAATGCTTCTAGTTCAGTTAAGCTAATGCAGAGAAATGAGTAAAATAACCACGATACCCGTGGACACGGCTCAGGAGTCATCTGGTGTTTGTGTCTCTGTGAGATCCCGCCAAGAGGCAGAAAGGGAGGAATGCATGAAGACTACTGAAGACACACACATGCACGTATACACACACTAAAACATGAACACACACAAATCACACCGCCATCCAATTTCCCTTGTCATTCCCTCATGGCAAGCCTGCCATTCCCGGCACTGAAACCTGAGCTGTGGGCTCTTCTGCTGAAGGGGATGCGCGAGCGCACACACGCGCGCACACACACGCACACGCACACACACATACACACACACAAGAATGAACCATAACTAATGACCATGATGCACTCTCAAACACGTCTCTAGACAAGCTAAAGGGGAGAAACAGAAATGTGTTAAAGCCTCCTGACATTTTAGAAGAAGACGTCTGAATAGTTTTTTATTCCCAAATGGCTGTGAAACCAAATCGGAGACATTTAGTTTGAATAAAAGTCGTCTCAAATCAGCAACATAAAAATTGATCCATTAAGGGTTAATTTTTGTAAAACTTCTGTTTTTTTTCTTTAAGAGAAGCACACACACACACACACACACACAGGTTGTTAGCTACAAACGAGGTGGGTCTGGCTTGATCTTTTCCACCCTGGATCGGCCGTGTCTGGCTAATCATTTCCCCCGTTAGCAGATGGGAAAATAACAAGGCTGATCAATCCGGGTTGCACGGCTTCCTTATGTTATCTGGTGATTTATGGCTCCATTTCGTACGGCACCACAAACCAGAGGGCTAATGGGGGAATAAGACAGCAACAGAGCACGATCTGCTAGGACAGTTAGGACCAGTCAAACACGGACGGGGGGGTTCTTCACAATCCTGTCAATGTAGGAGTGTTTCCACAAACCCACTTTCCTTCATGCCTGGTGCACGTAAACGGCCAGAAATGGTTAACAAGCCGATTCTTTTCTTTTATTAGTGCACACGACATTTACTGTACAGCTGTAAACACGTTTGTTGTGATCAGAGTTGAGCCGCTGGAGTCCCACCAGGCATGGGTGAGAACACACACACACACACACACACACACACACACACACACACACACACACACACACACACACACACACACACACACACACACACACACACACACACACACACACACGGTTTTCCTCTGGAGGGGCAAAGCAGCCAGGTCATTCTGAGAACCAGGACAGAGTGCTGCGGGCCTCCCAGGACTTCCAGGTCCTTCAGCTAATCCCTAAAAGGAACACGAAGTGAAAGGAGAGCTAAAAACAAAAAAAAAGGGGGGGGGGGGGTTCCAGGCACACGCTGGAAAGTGTTCCTAGCTGATTTATAACCCCACAACAGAGAAATGAAGTCGTACTGGATCAATCTGAACATTTTAAAAACAAAAAGACGATAAAATGTCCGAAGAAAGCTGGAATGTTTCCTTTTTTCTCACAAGCTGAAGCTGCAGGATGGATTCTAAACGATTCATTAAACCTTAAAGAAAAGTGACGAGAAGCTAGACAGACACTGCAGTGGATTTATCATCTTTTTTTTTTTACATCCGTCCTCTCTCCCCTTCTCTGCCCACTTTTCATCCACTCCCCCCCGTTTCCCATACACGGTTCTTTCTCTTTGAATGATTCCAAGTGACATGTTTCCAGTTCCTGGCCCCTTAACAGTGTCAATTAAAGCAAGCGAAAGAGAAAGGGAGATTGAGTGGGTTCCAGGGTTTTGGCTGCTACTCTGCTCTCTTCAGAGCTCTAATCCGGGGAGCTGACATTCAGCCCAGCACAACAACCCTGGGAGCACTGGGAATCAAAGGGCTTCACACAGACTTTAGGAAGAGAAGGGGAAAGAGGGAGGAGATGGGTAACACTCACAGATACAATGCTAAGGGCTAGGGAGGAAAAGATGCAAATTCAAGAGTTTGGATGTGACAGATGTGGGATAGAGTCCTAAAGAGGAAACTGTGGAAACGCAGGAGAGTGAAGTTAGAAGCTGTGCAGCAGAGAGAACCATCACACGCTGACTGCACTCACAGCAAAGCTGGAATCAGGGAAAAAGGTCAGAAATGCCTAAAACAAACACACACACACACACACACACACACACACACACACACACACACACACACACACACACTCCGGGCAGCATGTCAGGCCAAATAGCTGCGTGAGGAAACAACCACAAAGGGAATCATAAAATTAAATGGCTCAGAGATCCAAACAGCAACGCAATCTCTGTCCAGATCCGCAGGAGCACGCCGCCGTCTTAAAGCTGTGGGGGACTTGAGGGAATCTGTGGCATTTTATTAAAACTCTAGGGACTGAGAGCTGCTTTAAATAAGTAAACACATTTTTCACGCTGAAGTCATCTACCTGGCTCCACTCCCCAGGGAGCTTCAGCCGTGGAGCAAGAGCCACCATGTGGCCTGCCTCTGAAACAACCTGCAGAAGCAGCTATTCTCTCCTCTCTGGCTCCCCCTGCTGGTGGATCACAGCAACACCCAGAGGAAGGTCTGATGACACGGTTAAAAATTTATGGATCTTTTTTTTAATCTGAAACATTTATCACACATCTCCTGTATGCAACTAATCACTGACTTAAGTGTTTTTATAGAAACAAAAAGAATAAAAACCCAACACAAACGATAAATAATTAACACCTAACAAAATTTACAGATCATGAAATGTTATACAGGTCCTTCTCAAAAAATTAGCATATTGTGATTAAGTTCATTATTTTCTGTAATGTACTGATAAACATTAGACATTCATATATATTAGATTCATTACACACAACTGAAGTAGTTCAAGCATTTTATTGTTTCTAATATTGATGATTTTGGCATACAGCTCATGAAAACCCAAAATTCCTATCTCAAAAAATTTGCATATCATGAAAAGGTTCTCTAAACGAGCTATTAACCTAATCATCTGAATCAACTAATTAACTCTAAACTCCTGCAAAAGATTTCTGAGGCTTTTTAAAACTCGCAGCCTGGTTCATTACTCAAAACCGTAATCATGGGTAAGACTGCCGACCTGACTGCTGTCCAGAAGGCCATCATTGACACCCTCAAGCAAGAGAGTTAGACACAGAAAGACATTTCTGAACGAATAGGCTGTTCCTAGAGTGCTGTATCAAGGCACCTCAGTGAGAAGTCTGTGGGAAGGACAAAGTGTGACAGAAAACGCTGCACAATGAGAAGAGGTGACCAGACCCTGAGGAAGATTGTGGAGAAGGACCGATTCCAGAACTTGGGGGACCTGTGGAAGCAGTGGACTGAGTCTGGAGTAGAAACATCCAGAGCCACTGTGTACAGGCGTGTGCAGAAAATGGGCTACAGGTGCCGGCTTCCCCAGGTCAAGCTACTTTTGAACCAGAAACAGCGGCAGAAGCGCCTGACCTGGGCTACAGAAAAGCACCACTGGACTGTTGCTCAGTGGTCCAAAGTACTTTTTTTGGATGAAAGCAAATTTTGCATGTCATTCGGAAATCACGGTGCCAGAGTCTGGAGGAAGACTCGGCAGAGGAAAATGCCAAAATGCCTGAAGTCCAGTGTCAAGTACCCACAGTCAGTGATGGTCTGGGGTGCCATGTCAGCTGCTGGTGTTGGTCCACTGTGTTTTATCAAGGGCAGGGTCAATGCAGCTAGCTATCAGGAGATTTTGGAGCACTTCATGCTTCCATCTGCTGAAAAGCTTTATGGAGATGAAGATTTCATTTTTCAGCACGACCTGGCACCTGCTCACAGTGCCAAAACCACTGGTAAATGGTTTACTGACCATGGTATTACTGTGCTCAACTGGCCTGCCAACTCTCCTGACCTGAACCCCAGAGAGAATCTGTGGGATATTGTGAAGAAAAAGTTGAGAGACGCAAGACCCAACACTCTGGATGAGCTTAAGGCCGCTATCGACGCATCCTGTGCCTCCATAACACCTCAGCAGTGCCACAGGCTGATTGCCTCCATGCCACGTCGCACTGAAGCAGTCATTTCTGCAAAATAATTCCCGACCAAGTATCGAATGCATAACTGAACATAATTATTTGAAGGTTGACTTTTTTGTATTAAAAACACTTTTCTTTTATTGGTCGGATGAAATATGCTAATTTTTTGAGATAGGAATTTTGGGTTTTCATGAGCTGTATGCCAAAATCATCAATATTAGAAACAATAAAAGGCTTGAGCTACTTCAGTTGTGTGTAATGAATCTAATAAATATGAAAGTATAATATTTATGAGTACATTACAGACAATAATGAACTTTATCACAACATGCTAATTTTTTGAGAAGGGCCTGTATTTGTGACTAAATCAGCTTTGAGAGTATCACGGTCTGCTCCTAACAAGTGTCTAAAGTCAGGAAACAACTAACAAACATAGAAATCATCAGATTTTAATGGATCCACTCTTTCACGAGGCAGCTGCTAGAGGCTAGAATAATCTCCCTTGTTATTTAAACCATGAGTCTGTTCTCATCGGAAGACTAAACTCTTCTCTTTTCTTGTTATTAGTCTCTTTTATTGTGTTTTATTGTAGCATAAATGTGCACATCTTGACACTCTTTTCGAAAATTTAAACAGCATTAAACACAGAGGGTTAATACAAAAGCACACCTTTTCCTCTTTAACACGTTCTTCCTTATATCTGCTCTGCAGGTTCATTTTATATCTACAGATTCTCATCCTCATAAAAGTGACTGTATATTTACTGGTTCATGGATTTAAAAAATATATTTAATATTTATTTTAAAGTTGTTATAAGGCTATCTGGTGATTTTCAAGCCGTTGATTGGTCAGTTAATCTTCTCGTCTATAACTAAATTCAGCGAGACCTGGGCTGAATTTAACTTGAGCAAAGAAACAAAAAGCGCCGTCATGTATCAATAAAAAGTGACATTACAGTTTTTATCTGTTATTAGAAGGGGGTGGTGCTTAACTCTACACTTCTGCCTCCTCCTTTTCAAACATAACAAAATGATTGATTTATTTATATGTTGTTCAAACACTATGAAAAACACTGGATGAATTTATGTTCAAAAAGAACAACAAAAATCTAAACATTATTAGGTTAACAGTATTATACGTTAGGAAGGGTATTAATACAAAAATATAAAGATTTACTCGTTTCTGATTAGAAATATTGTTGAAAAATCTCAATTTTACCACTTGTGGGTAACTTTATAGTTTTGGAAAAAACAAAACAAGTAAAGAACACAATTTATTCTTGTTGCAGTCCAGTTTTTGAAACCAATTTTTGTCTGATTTTTATTTTGTTCATAAAACCTGAGGGAAAGAGCGAAAGGAGACTCAATGAGTAGAGGAGAAAAAACAGGCGCTGTACTTAAAGCTGCAATCCAGATTTCCATTCCCCCCCCCCACCGTCCAAACGGAGGTGATGAGCGCTGCTCTTGCAGCTGCACACCCTGAAGTGAGGAGAGTCCCAACCCTACCTCCCCACCTAGTGGACACTTATGTTGCGTAATGTCTGAAGTCTGTGTGCATATCTGTCTGAGGTGATTTTTTGCATAGCAAGGCTGCCCTCTCCGTGGAGGGTAACTCTGAAGTGCCTTTCTCCCCTCCCCCTGACTCTATTCTCATGTAAACCCTCTTGATCTATTACAGTAGCGCGACTCGGGTTGCGAATGGCCAAAGTCATCCAATTCCTGTCATGTGTCTATGTATGCATGTTTGATCTTGGAATTGTGTGTACTGAAACAATTGAATTTCCCTCTGGGATTAATAAAATATTTTAGAATTTTTAATTGAAATGAATTGAGTCATCTTAAAATTCCCTTAACTCTGCCTCTGCTCCAGACCTCATCTCCATTTCTTCTCCAGTTGAGAACACACACCCTGGCGCCCTCTGCTGTTACGGGTGTGTAATGACCCCAGACAAATAGCATGTGTGAAAGCTTAGACCCCAATTATAAGACGACCCCACATTTTGAAATTATTTTGAAAGAAAAAAAAACTCGTTCTATATTCGGGTCAATACGGTATGCATGATTTTTCTGAAATACATAAAATCAGATAGTCTTATCATATACTGTAGGAAATAAGTCTCTTTTTTTTTTGCTAAGCCCACCCTCTGCCTCTAAAAGCAGCGCCGGTCAGCACTAACCAATAGCGTTAGACTACCGCTTACATACAGGCGTCTATCACAGAGCTGTTGGAGCGTTTAAAGAGCAAGTAACGTCTAAATTAACTTTCTTTTTGCTGATGAACTGTATAAATGAGTGTCTAATAGTGTTTTAAATGTGTGTATTCATTATTTTAGCATTTTGGTGCATTTTCTTTAAAAATAAAAATTTCTGCCTAAATACCACAGTGTAGCGCCACCTTCAGCTTAAAACATAGAGTTTGAGTCATTTTGATTACACTTTAGCCAATGCTAAAGAGAAAGATACTACGTAAACCAGTAGAGTACTACGTAGCAGCTCTGTGTCAAAGTTATAAAAGCACCGAGCGTCTCGGCCACGCCTTGTGACGAGTTGGACATACCTCGGTCGCTGCAGGTTGGCGACCATTCTCAGGGACAAGTAGGTCTTTAAAACATAAAAAATATGAATAACGTGAGCATAATAACTGTAAAACTATGTGCTTTAGCTCTGCTTCGTTGGCTAGAAGAAAGTGTTCATGAATGAGCGGCGTTGATGTGATACGCTTTTCTGCCACTAGATGGTGGCATCAGATAAAAGAAAAAATATGGACAGCTACTTAAGAAGGAGACTAGGCAGTTTTGGCTTGCTTTTAGCACCCCATAGTGTCCGTTTAGTTGAACCAAAAGCAAAACGTATCTCCTTGTACAGCTTTTGTCTATTTAAACCCTTAATCTAACAGCTGAAATGTCTCCCTAGCCTTCATTAGTGTCTACAGCAGTGATCCATCATTAAATTAAACAAATCAGCTCTTAGCGTGATCTAAAACATGCAGGAAACGTGCTGGACCCAGACTGCAGCACCAAGTATGTTTAGCTCCATTTTTTTCTAGGTCCAACAGACTGGACTGGCACTCTGAAGTTGCAAATGAGGTATTCAGGCCACAGTGGGCAGTGACTACCCTGTAAAGGGTCATTTTAGCATATGGGCTGAAGACAATGATTTAAAATATGAAAAATTTGCTAAACATCTCTTTACCTAAACTAAAGACTATGCTTTCTTCTACACAACGTTGGCTAAAACTTTTTTAAGATTCTAAACATAAAATAAAGATTTCAGATAATAATGGAGCTCCCTGTTACTGACCTGCTTTCACTGTCCAGGAAGACAGATCCGCTGCTCTCACACAGAGCCTCGCTCACGGGGGACAGACAGAACGGGGACGAGAAGGTGTCCGAGTCCGAACCCATGGTGCTGTCCCGGCTCACTTCATCAGACAGCTCACAGGAGCCCTCGTCCCCCTCGTCCCCCGCTGACAGCAGCTGATGCTGGTGTGAGGAGGGATCCGAACCGCTCTCTCCCACCAGGCTTTGGCTCTCAGCCGAGGTGCTGGTGGTGATGTTCCTCTCCTCATCCTCGTCCTCCTCTGGAGCAACAGGAGGCCGTGAGCGTGGCCTAAGGAAGGTGGCTAGGTCAGAACATAATAGCTAAGAGCACCAAACTATAAAACTAATCTGGTGAAGGTTCTCAGTCCTCCAGGTCTTGGTAGTCCTAGTGGGTCTGAATGAAGGCAACTGAATTCCTCAGGTTCCTTGAAGAGTTTCATTTCTCACCTTCTAGCTTTGTGAGGTCTAACTGGAATCGGCAGTCGAGCTTTTAAGCTGTAGAGCGGTTGCTGCTGAAAGCTGGGGTACATTGTTTAAGATTATTTAAGTAATCTCTAAAATGCTTCAGTTTGACTATCTGACCCTGTTCTATGATGTAAAGTAGGTAACTTTAGATTCCCTTCAAGTCCTTGCCCTGGCCTCCAAAGTGAAACTAATCTTTCATGTGAGCTTAGAGCTTGAGTTTCATATCCACAAGAGGGCGATGTCAACCAGTGAGAATGCGTCTCAGTCAGCAGCACACCAACGAAGAAGAAGCTAGAGGTTTGCATCAATGTGGCAACCAAAACATTTACCAAAGTTACAGATTCCTCAACTGCCTTCAAGTTCTCAAAGAAAACCTAAATCATTTAAAAGTCTTTATGAAAAACTTGCTGAGATGTTCACGACAGCTGAGTGAATTTCCATTGGAGACGCTAAGATGGAGGGAGCTTCATGACACAAGGGCTCAAAACTAATGAAGTTAGCAAAGTTTCTTCAGATAAACACTAAATAATGCATTGTATTTTAGAGAAATGTAAACAAAAGTGTATTTAAATAAAATAATCAGTCCAGATAACTGCTGTACGCTACGTTTACCATGGGCAAATATGGTGTTAGCTTAAATGCTAACTGGACCTTCACTGAATTAACGTCAGTCTCTAAGGGTGTTTCTCAGTGAACCTCGCTTTGATGTCTTGGCCTTGCCCCGGTTGCCTACGAGATACGTCATCGGGAGCCGCCAAGACGTGTTCCAATGTTCATGTTCTACCGAGGCGTGTGTTCTCCATTTGTTAGCTGTTTAGCTAGCTGAGCAAGGATACATGGGAGGTGTCTTGTAGCCTAGCCTTGGTCAAAAATTACCCAGAATACACCACGGTATTTTCAAAACGATGGCGGATCAGAAGCTGGCAGCTACTTTGGGGACAATTTCCAAGTTTTAAAGTAAGTAAACTAATTTAAAATGTTTTTTTAGACCCAAAGAAGTTATCTATGGTTGGTTAGTTGCTTAGTAGTTGCAGCTTCGGTGGCTAGCGGGTAGTAACTCACTTATATTTTTTATTTAATAAATATATACACAATTTAAAAAGTAAAAGGCTCGTTATATATTTATGTTGAAATTAATATGTATAAAATATAATGTTATCTCCCGTGTCACGTGACGTCACGTGACTGCCATGGAAGCCACGGTCACGTGATGCAAGTCTTTTCCATTTAACTGTTTTCTTTGACCAAGGAAGGACAGTGTCCTTGTTAGCAAGGCGCCTGGCCTCGCAAGACATCGCTTCGCAAGGCCAGGCGCCTTGACATTGAGAAACACCCTAAACTTCAAGCTTACATGGAAAGAGGAGGGAGGCAAATAACGAGGGATTCATCTTTGTGTCTTAGAGCTAAGTGATTAGTGTAGTGTTCAACTTTATGCTACATCTGACTATTGTTGTAGCTCTCTGTTGACTCTGCTTATCATGGTCATGTGCAGTATAACCCGTGGCTTTCAGCTACTTGGGGTGGGTGGCCTTTCAATTTTCAAAATAGCCTCCTCTGTTTCACGACATCACACTACGGACCACAGCTTCCATGAGATAAAGCTACACGTGATGCTGTAGTAGATGCGTGAATCTGCAGCAGCAGACATAAACCGGTGTTCTCCAGCTCTCCAGCTGTACTTTTCTCGTCAGCCCAGCCAAGAAAGGTGTATGATTGGTCAGTGGTCGTGCACATGTGCAGATTGTCATCGTCTCTCCCGGAAGAACGGTGCAAATGGGCTTTTGTTGCTAATCTGCAGGGAATATCTACAAGAAAGTTCTACAGAATGTGGCAAAGGGTCCTCAAATGTCGCTAGGTGCTTTTTGGGGAAAAAAAGTGTCGAGGGGGTTAAAAAGCTGTTAGAAACAGCGGCAAAGTCGCAACTCTGGGAAGGTGGGAGTTAGAGTGAAACTGTGTGGGGATTAGATCAGAGCTCCTTTATTACAATGGTGAAACCGGACCCCTCACCCCCACCACCAACTCAGTTTTTCCATTTGGGACATGGATGGCTTCCATTACTCCTCTGTCAAACCCTCCATCGTCTGTCCAAAATGGAGCATCTTCATGATCAAAAGTCTGTCCCTTGAGGTGTGGATGGACTTAGTCTTGCCCTGAAGAGGATGCTCTCATGTGCATGTGTATTTGTGATTCAGAAGTCTAGCGGCATTGTATATGATGTTTAATGCACTGGGGACTGTTAATAGCTAACGGGCGGGGGGTATCAGGTTTCACCATTTCTCACACCTACAATGAAGCTTTTATCCGATTCTGAGACAGTTTCAGTCTAACTTCCAACCTCCTGCCTCCGACCAAAACACCTCAGTCCAACACAACTGGGCCGGACAACATCAAAGACTTCTCAGGAACTGACAAAGCTCCTCAGATGAGAAGCGAAACCAGAGAAGTCCAGCTTCCTTTATTCAGACCTAATGAAACGGGTTGTACCGTCTGCCTCTGCGGCGGGCGTTCCTGCGTACGGGGGAGCTCTCAGGCGTGATGAACCGCAGAGCCTCTTCATCCTGCCTCTGGATGCGGGAATTAGGCACCCAGGTCAGAATCAGCGTGGTGCCAAGGCTCTCATCCTTCTCCACGTGCACACACAAGTAGCCTATAGGGGGTGACAAAAACAGATTCCTGTCAGGAGGAATCGGGAGTTTTCTGTATGAGGAAATCAAAAAGTGTTTCATGTGCAGAGGGAGGCTGCAGCTTTTGGACAAACATGAGATCTGAGGAGAGGTATGGATTTAAGAGGTAGACAGGGGAAAACCTGAAAGTCGAGTTACAACAGAAACATGAACATTCATGTTGATCAGATTCAGCAATAACATGGTGTTGGCTGCTGGTAGTGATCAGGGTTTTGATGCATAAATGGAAGAATGGAGCACAGCCACGGTACACGTGGCCTAACCCTAACCCTCAGTCACAGAGACAACTCCCGTGGCCCGAGCCGTGCGTACAAAGACTGAATCTGTCTAGCCTAACCTGGGTGGTGCTCGGCCAGGCCAGGTAGGGGCTCCGCGGGGTGCACGCAAACATTATTTTTGGAGAAGATGATCTCGCCGTCCAGTCCGGAGCGTAACGACGAGCCTCCTGCTCCAGGGTTTAAGGTCAGGAGGTCGGAGGCTTTAGAGGAGGCACGCCGAAGGAGCCGACCCAGAGACATCTCCTCAGGAATCGGGACACTGAGCCCATCCTCTGAAAGGAGAAAAAGAAAAGGAATGTTGCACAGCAGACAAGAAAAATTCAAAAAATTGGCTGCAGAGATCCTCAACCTCCCTTCACCTCCTCTGTGTCAGTATTTACTGCAGTGTCCTTCCTGCAGCGCTCCTCCCCACAATCCTCTGCTCTCTGGACTCCTTCAGCATTTCTCTACACCTGCTGTGTGTGTGTGTGCGTGCGTGCGTGCGTGCGTGCGTGCGTGCGCGTGCGTGCGTGCGTGTGTGTGTGTGTGTGACTGAAATGCTTCCCACCTTTTGCAAACAGCAAATAAAGACAGTGAAGTGTGAGCACACACATTCAGAGACACTATGCAAACACACTCCAGTCCATCTGTGTGAAATTCCAAACGGCCATCAGGAGCCAACAGATGCAATCAACTGCTTCAGACAGTGTGCATGTGTGTGTGTGTGTGTGTGTGTGTGTGTGTGTGTGTGTGTGTGTGTGTGTGTGTGTGTGTGTGTGTGTGTGTGTGTGTGTGTCCATAAGATGTAGACATTCTTCTTTTCAAAGACTTAAATGGATCTCTGCAAACTAAAAGAAAAGAAAACCTTTATTTGCTTTTAGTTTAGTCAAACTTCTTCTGAACGTTCACATCAGCCCTCTTTTGGCTGAACACGCTATCTGAGGAATGCTTTCTCCTCGTGAGGCGGGGGTGGGTGTGTGTGTGTGGGGGGGGGTTGAGAATACCTCTGCTTGATTAAGCAGGCACCCCACTTCCTGCTGCCAGGCCTTGCACAGGAAGTCTGCTGGCATGAAATCTGGACATGGACTCAAACATAAGATGTGGTATGAGTTTGTAGGTCAGAGACTTATCACTGGTATCGATCCATTTTACCCCAGTACTTTGAGCTGAAAATGGTTATTTAATTTCTCCAACGTTACTTTGAACTTTCAGATTCTTCTTTTATTTTAATCAAATAAGAAAAGTGTCCTTCTCGAGACGTTGGAATGAGATCATACAAAAATAGAAAAGCAACTTCATTTAATTAGGAGATGGTCAGCTATTTGACAAAATGACCAATGTGCAACAGTGTTTTTGTCCGACTCAAAATCTTTCTTAGCAGAATATTTCACAAACCACTGAATGGATTTGGAAGAAAATCTCAGAAATTATGTATTACTTGTACACGTGCAATGTACTACAATTTGGAGTCAATCTGAATAAAGATGGCCACCACAGCTTTTCAGCATTGAAGGTCTTGTTAGCTCATGTTACCTTTGAGTAGGGTTGTGCATTGTTTGATTTTGAACGATTCCGGTTCCAGTTCCAATTCCTTGTTTTGATTCCGGTTCCTATAGATGCCCGATTCCGATTCTTTCAAGACATGACATGTTTTACATGAGCCAGCTAGCCACAGGTCCTACTTGATGAAATAATCTTAACTTCAACATGAATTTAAATTCTATGAAACACAACATCACCTTCATTCAGACAAAAACATGTTTTGGAGAAAAAAAGAAAAAGACTTGCAGCACAACCAGTGTGTTTGTTTCTGACCACAACCAAAGTCTGGAAGAAGCCTCTGGGATGAGAGGCTAAATGTCTCCAACATATCCAGAAACGTCCAGCTGTTTTCAGCTAAAACTCTCAGGATGATCATGTCCAGGATGACTGAGAACTACACCTCCATGCTGCAGCAGCTTCAGTCAGAACAGAAAGTGAAACTTAAATTTAGCTGCTGTCAGTAACAATCTAACAGATTTTAAACATTAAATCGCTCAACATAAATAGTTAGAAAGGAAATAAAATTCTTTATTTATTATTATTATAATTATTTATTGTGGCAGAAGCTGTTGTGGTCCACCACAGAGAAGCTGTTCTAGCTTGATGACTTTAATTATTCTACAGGTTATTGTTCAGCCTTCTCACACACACACACACACACACACACACACACACACACACACACACACACGAGTGTTGGTGAGCGGCTGCGTCTGACTGCTGACGCTCCGTGTGTGTTTTTATTTCTGCAGTAAGACAAACTCACCTCACACCGTCCAGAGTTTGTTCTTTAAAGCTTCTATTAAATTCACCGTGTTGACGTATTTAACAAGTTTCCTCTACAGCGCATTTTTCGCTGCAGGAGTTAAAGTTTGGCTGCTGCGCGCTGGGTGGGGGGTTGGGGGGGGGGGACTCGGTGCTGCACACAGACAGCTGGTGTGATCAGCTCTGACAAGCATTGATCACAGGGATGTGTATTTTTGAAATTCTGGTGATACGATACATATCACGATACAGGGGAGACGATACGACATATCAAGATATATTGCGATACATTCAGTCAGACGTTGCAAGCAATTTTTTTTTTACTGAATTCATTGTAAGAATGTTCAAAGTCCAAAATGATACGTAACATGTTTAACATGAGGTATCTGAACCATGATGGAGGGATTTCTATTTCAATGGTGGAAACAAAACCTGTTGCACACTGCTGCCAACTAGCAAGTGGCGATTGAATTGCACAAAACGAACAGAAAATACACACACGTTTGCATGTAAATTCTTTCAAGAATTAGATACACGGCTTTTGAATATCGATGTAATAATCGCAGGAAAAAATATCACGATATATTGCCATATCGATATTTTCTTACATCCCTAGTTGATCACAATTTGCAGATCACGTTTATTTTTCACGGAGATCGGCCGCGGATTCCTCTTCCGTCGGCATTCTAGGAATCGAAACTAGGAATCGAAGAAAAGAACTTTAAACGATTGTGGGAAAAACTAACAGTTGGAACTGGTTCCAATCGATGCTGGATGCTCAATGCCCAACCCTACCTTTGAGAGCAAAGGTAGGCACAGTATATGATCAAATATTAGCGTTGGCACTATTGAGATGTCCCATTCATCCATTTTCAGCCACTTATCCAGAATTGGGTCGCGAGGACAGCAGCCCAAGCCGAGAGGCCCAGAATTCCTACTCCCCAGCTACTTGGGCCAGCTCCTCCAGGGTAATCCCAAGGCGTTCCCTGACTAGCCGCGAGATGTGGTCCCTCCAGCGTCTCCTGGGTCTTCCCTTGGGTCTTCTCCCGGTTGGACGTCCCTGGAAAACCTCACCAGAGAGGCTTCCAGAAGGCATCCCGACTAGATGCCCGAGCCACCTCAACTGGCTCCTCTTGACGTGGAGGAGCAGCTGGTCTACTCCGAGCCCCTCCCAGATGGCCGAGCTTCTCACTCCATCTCTAAGGGAGAACCCAGCCACCCAGTGGAGAAAACTCATTTTGGCCGCTTGTATCCGCAATCTTTTTTTTTTTGGTCACTACCCAAAGCTCGTGACCATAGGTGAGGGTAGGGATGATCGGTCATCACCGGTAAATCGAGAGCTTTGACTTCCGGCTCAGCTCTCTTCACCACGACAGATCGGTACAACGCCCACATCACATAATAGCTGTGTGTGTGTGTGTGTGTGTGTGTGTGTGTGTGTGTGTGTGTGTGTGTGTGTGTGTGTGTGTGTGTGTGTGTGTGTGTGTGTGTGTGTGTGTGTGTGTGTGTGTGTGTGTGGCACAAGATTATGAGGACACACACAGCAAATTAATAAAATAATGTGGTTCTGAGTTATCAAAAGCAACACAGCTCAGGTCCGCCTTAGTTTACCTTATAATGGAGGACACCACGGACGTTCCTGTGCGTATTAAACACCGCACACAGCCTCGGGGATTTCCGCATTCCTGAAAAGTACCTCGGATTTATACGTGAACGCTACACTACAAGACCGAACTCACGCCATCCAGCCCAACCAAACCCCGACCGTGCCAGCTCAAAGTCCACAGACTCTGCTTTCTCATTGGAAGACGTGCCGGTGGGATTAAGAAGGTCTTCAAAGTATTTCGCCCACCGATCCACAACATCCTGCATAGAGGTTAGCAGCACACCGTCACCACTGTAAATAGTTTTGGTAGCGCACTGCTTTCCCTTCCTGAAATGCCAAAGATGCCATTTATCTTAAATGCGACTTATTTTTGTCTGCCTGACTTTACAACTAACAGTATCTTAGGCAAGTCTGCTGTTGTGTTAGACTTGGTAGTGCGAGGTTTAAGCGCCTGCCTTTTGTCTCGTTCTGCCATGTGCTGACGTAGGTTCGACTCCTGGTGATGTCTGCAGTAATTTATTTAGCCAGCTGAAGCAGATTTTGTGTTTTGATATTTTAGTTTTATTGATTAGTTTCTGCAAAATATTTTGTGTTACTAAAGCAGTGTTTCTCCTACATAAACTCAGGTGTGGCGCTGCCCAACAGCTGAAAATCCAGCTCCACGCTTATAATTAAAACAGACACTAGGGGGTGCTAATAGCAAGCCAAACATGTAGATTGTTCCTTTAAGTGAACTTGTGGTAACAAACCATTGACACATAAAACATTTTACTGTCACCCAGCTTATGTTACTGACAAGGTTTTTCTGCTCATCCCACCAGGTCCGTATAACCGACATTACCTTGTCTTCTATACAAGGACTTGTCCATCCCCTCCACTCCAGCAGCAGCTGCCGCTGCTTTTGTTCAAACTAGACACAGTTTGACAAAATTAATGCACAATCACAGTTGGCCGGTAAAGTCTTTACGGGTGGTTCGATTCATTTCATTTCTATCGGATACTGTTTATATTGTGCATTATTACTAGGGAAGTGTATTGGCATAAATCTGGCGATACTATAAATATCACAGTAAAGGGAAGACAATATATCGCGTTACTAAAATCTAGACAGTACTTACAATATTTAAGACAGATGCTTCTAAGACAAGTCCAGTGTCAATGCAAGATTTCATTGTTTTTTCAGAGTGAGTGCAGTAAAACTGCTGCCACCTAGTGGACGGAGATTGAAAAACAAATGAAATACAGTAAATGTTAGCATGTCAATTCTTAATAAAAACATTGATACACTGCTATCAAATATTGATTTGGTGTCATAACACCAAATATTGTGATTTTTCTGTGTATCGATATTTCCTTACATCCCTTTAACTTGATAAAACTAACTAAGATTTGGTGTGTTAGTAGCATTCAGTCATTTCCAGTCAACTAATGTTGACTTTTCTTTTAAGATTTGAGCAAAATTGGCTAAAACTCCAAGTTTTTCAACATTAAATGGTATTTAGTTTGAACTTGTCAAAAAAGATAGTGGCGGATATGATTTCCTTCAAACAATGCAAGGTATTTGATTTGATTCGACTTATTTGCCGAGTCTGCAAACATAAAAAAGTACATTCAAATATGTGCTTCTCGTTTCCTCCAGAAAAATAAAACCCATTAGGCCAAGAGTGAACATCCGCTTGGAGCAACTTTCACTTGAAAAACACCAAATAAATCTGCTTGTAAGTTAAAACAGTAAATGCAGCAGCTGCGTGTTTTGCATTCCTGCAAGTCTCCACCAAGAGGAACTAGTGACCTTGTGTAAACTTCCTGCACATCATGACAAGCTTGGATGGTAGACATTGTACAGAGCTGCTTTTCTGTAGTGATACCACCTTCTCTGCTGTGCTTGAGTGCAGCGGTTATTTTGGTGTGCATGTGACTGCAGGGTGACTCGGGTCAGTTTCATGTTCAGGCTGGCTGATAAGGAGAAAGTGTTCTCTCTCTGCTTTCCTCACACTTCATCTTTAATCCTGTCAGCGCCTCAGTCTGCCTCTACCACCTTTTTGCGTTTTAAAAAAATGACTCCTTGTTCTTCTTAGACCCGCTCTAGTTCCTCTGTGACTTAAAGAACCACGTTTTCACCAACAAGAAGCTGACGTCATGTAACCGATCACACTAAACCTGTGCTGCTGCGAGTGCAGCAGCCACAAACATGCAGGGTCTCAGCTTCTCACCTCTGGGCTACAATAATGAAGTTGTCATGTTGACATCTGAATAGAGGAGCCAACACTAAACTCTCCTCCCTTTCATCTGGACGCCTGCGGCTTTGGTTGCACAGAAGCCAGATAGTGATGTCTGAGTGAGTTGTCACAAAAGCTTTTGGATGTTTTAGTGCAGAGCTGAGGAGACATACCGCCGTTAATGACATTTAGAACTATGAGAAGTTTTAAAATAGCTTCACTTAGATGTTTAAATACGTTTTATTTTATAAATCAGTGTTGTTAGTATAATGCTTTAAGAGACTAATTACGTTATTTTATGAGCAGTGGCGGTTTTACCATTAGGCATAGGTCGGCGGCCGCCTGGGGCCCCCTTATGTTGGGGGGCCCCCCAGCCCTGACTGCAGGCACCCCTCTGTTAATGCCACAATGGACTATTCCTTTAAGATGCCGGTGCACAAACAGGAAGTGATTGGTAGTCATTCCACTCTAATTCAGTTGGTGGCAGTAATGCACCAAATTGTTGTTTGCCAAGTGCCGTAAGACCACAAATAAGAAGAAGAGAAAGCAGAAAAAGAAGAAGAGAAGCGGGAGCGTTCGTAACAAACTCGAAGCGGTAGTCAAAACATTAAGCATGAAATGGAGTTATCCTAGTGGCTCCAATAAGAGAAAGAAGCAGCTTGCTTTAAAAAAGCTTTTATCTTCACTTCCAAATGTGACGTTTTTCAATGTAAACATCAAAAGGAAGCAGAAAAGGAAAGGCAATGGAAAATGTTTAAAGGGAGGAAAACATAGACCAAAATGGAAAATGGAAAAAAAAAGAAAGGCAAAAGTACAGGAGCACTGACAGGAAGAATAAAGCAGAACAAATATTGAAAGCACTCAAAGGGAAAGACAGAAAAAAAAAGAGTAGGACTAATAAAAAGTGAAAATAACTCATGTCAGAAGAGGGGAGAGTTTCGCAAATCCAGTTAAAGATAAGATTGTCGAAAATGTAGTGTAAGGGGGCCCCAGTCTGTGTTCGCCCTGGGCCCCCAAATTGCTAAATCCGCCACTGTTTATGAGCATTTTATTGTAGTTGCAAGACAGAAACATCACAACAGTTTGAAGGAATTATATTAGAACTAATTTTCGTACAATAATGATGCACTTGACACGGTTGCTGTTCGTTCTAACAGCAAAACACTCAAACATGTTTTTTTTTAATCGTGCATTTTGTTTCTTCATAAAAAATGCATTTCAGAAATAATTAACTTTACAGAAAATGTGTCAGCTGGGTAAAATGAATGTTGTCAGACCTGCGCCGATTCTGGTTTCTGGGGCTAATACCAATTTCAGCCAATTAGGTTTTATCTCAAAGAACTAGAGTTAACAAAATATTTTTATAAATGTTTCATTTTTTTCAAAAGTGTGATTCAGGAAATAAAAACCTCCATATATTATTGTTAGTGTGAATAAGTGCTTAGCAAGCAAGTGTTAATGGATAATGAAGATTTTTTTATGGTGTCTCTACAGCCCAATGATTGGTGTCAAAAATCAGATTTTTGAATTTCAAATGAGTCAATCACCTCTCAAGCTTGTCCAACTGACTACGGGCCGATTCCGTTCAACAGATTCTCTAAATCTGTTGTTTTTAACGAACAAATTTGTGATCGGTGTCCCTGTGAATTTTCTTTTAGAAAACAACTTTAGACTTTTTAGAGTTTCAGATTTCTAAGTCAATTTTTGGTCCACATTTGGTTTCCAAGTTTAAATATTTTGTTGATTAAACTGTTTTCAAATCTATATTATTTTGTCCAATTTTGGTGTAAGAAAATAAAAGTTCTGGTGCTTATATAGGTGAAATATGTTTTACACCGTCAATTTTTAATGAAGAAACTCTGAATGGAAACACCAAAAGTCTTTGACTAGGAATGTAAGAAAAATATCGATATGGCAATATATCGCATAATTTCACCAATACATATCCTTATCTTTGACATTTTCTGAGAATATTTAGAACAGATGCATTAAAAAATTGGTTGTTGATCAAAATAGGCAGTTCTTACATTTGATTGGCTTAATCAGTGATCAACCAATTTGAAAAATTAGACTTTATTGTTTTTGAACCATGGAAACACCAATGCCACGCTGCAATGGACCAGATGTTTCCTGTCCATGAACTCACCATTGCTGTGTGGTCATTCCCCCTGGATGTACCAAACCTTCAATACGGAAGTTTTCCTTAAAAAAAAACAAACTTTTCAAGATAATCGAAAACAATATTCTGATAATGATTGTGGTGTAAGTTGCATTCGGCAAATTGAAGCTGTAAAAGAACCAGAAGTCGGTATCAAACCTGAAAACCAGAATCGGTGCATTTTTTAATTAAAACAAAGGGAAACAAATAGGTACGATTATTTAGGCTTATTTCTAACAAGCATTTATCAACAGCTATTTCAAAAGCGTCTCAGAAATTAAGTGAAGTCAACCAAAATAAGAGTAGGGTATCAAACGTGAAGGTGGTCTATGTCCCGAGTCCTGTGGAGGACAAGCCCCAGCAGCGTGGCTGGACCAGGCCTGTTTACTCTGGGTTTCTAGTCCCAACTCTCCACCTTCAACATGCGTATTTGAGTTTAGTTCATGCACCACCACGCCAGAAGGCGCTGGTCATACATAACCGGTGACCCAAGCAGCACCAAGTTATTTCTCCCGTGTTTCCTGACTGACAGCTGGCATTCACCTTTACCAGCAGCTGAATTCAACGAATTGACAGCGTGTGGAGAAACGGGGGCCAAGCCGGGGAGCTCTCACCTTCAGTCCCGCCGCAGAAACCTACAGCCCGCACCGGACAACCATCTCCGCTTGCAGCCGCGGACCGAGCACCATGAGCCGGGCTTGTTCCAGCTGCTACCTCACGGTTTTATCTCAGGTTACCACCAACTCCGCTCTTGTGTTTATCGCAGTGCTCTCCGACTGTACCGCACACCTGGAAGCTGCTGCATGAACGCAGAAATGCACCTACTTCCGTTCTGACCTTTCAAAATAAAGTTACCTACTACGAGCGCGGCAGATTAGAGTTTAGAAGGAGCTGACGCTTTATTTTCTAAAACTAATGTGCTTCCGTTGCTTTAGTCGGACTGTTGTTGTTACTTGACTTCACAGCTCCACACCAACCCTAAATGCAGCTGTTTCCGGCCCGTAAAAGGCTTTTCCTCTCAGCTGATTTCATCCTGGAAACACTGAGGTGAGATTTGAACATGACTGCGTAGAAATAAGTCCCACAAGACACAGTCATCACCTACCGATTCCATCATTTAAGCCGAGCCCCTTTCATCATAAGTGACGTCTCAAAGGTCACTGGCAAAGGCTGGAAAGCGGTTGGTCCATCATCAGGACCAGAGCTGGAGTCAGAGCATCGTCACACAACATCACTGCTGTCTCCACCTGCCTGTTCAAAAGATTAAAAAAAAAACGATAATGCTAATCTACAGCTAAGATTGTTATTTAGTCATGTAAAAGTATATTCTTAAACTGACATAATAGATAAAAAATGTAATCTTTTTTTTCCTATTTAAAAACAAAAATGTAACAGATTTTTATCCATTTCAGTTTTATAAGACTAATACAGTGGTGCTCAGTGCTCACTGGTCCTAGAGAGTGCCACTATCCTGCATATTTCAGAGGTTCCTGTTTCAATACACCTGGATTTAATCAGTAGTGATTAACAGGCTTCTGCGGAGCTTGATGACCTGATGAACAGATCATTCAAACATTCAGTCAGGTGTGTTGCAGCAGGGAAACTGTTGGACACCACTGTACTAAGATATATTTTACAATAAATCATTAACAGATGAGTGTATTTTTATTTTGTAGGGTTTGGTAAATTGAGTGCTTTAAGAGCTCCACAGATATATTACCTCTACTTATGACCAATGTGATATAGAATGTCACCCTGCCTGGTCTTTATTGTGCTTTAATCGGAAGATTCTAGGATTCTTTATTTATTAGGGGATTGTACACACTTTGTTTTGATTCAGAAAACAGTCAGGTTTATAAAAGTAAGAATTTATTTGACCAACAATTAAAACATGACAAATTAACTAAGCATTTACTGTGATGGATGGAACTAGATGCGATGTATGAAACCCATGTGTGAATGCAATGTTAGTCAGAACTTCCGTATCTAGGAGAGCTGCGTTCTGGATGTAAAACAATTTGGTTTGCGTTAAGCTATTGAGTTGATTATTATCAAAGCACATTCAGACGCAATCTGTCATGTCTACTTCACCCGTTTTCGGAGACCCTCTTGGTGGATCCGAAGGTCAGAGAGGTCGGATGACCTCTGGCACCGGAGGGCTGTAGAATACCGTGGCACCAACCCTTCAGTACAGTAATGTCTCGGGTCACGACAGATGGATGGAACCGCACGTCTCTGGTGGACTCTTAAGGAGTCTAAACAATATCAGCTTGTTCTGCAGGAACTGTTCGCTTTATCAGCTTTGCAGGTGCAAAAAGGTTTTGACGACGTGTCAAAAGCTTTGGTGGTTAAAGAGGAGTTGCTCCAAGTGGCCGGTCTGGAGCTTTCTCTAGAACTGATGAATCACCAGAGTGATCTGGTTTTAATATTCTCATGTTGATTGTGTAGCCAACCAGAGGTTGACAAGTTTGAGAAATATTACCAAGAATCTCAGAAACACATGCTCTTTGACACCGGAGGCTCTGAACTGGGGTAAAGGCTATTTATGTGTCATGGGTTTAACTTTACCTTACTTTGTTCTTGTGTGAGTGCAAATGATTATGACCTTGTCAAGTAAACATGCAATCAATCAAGAGCACTCGGCTGCTCTTTGAGGGACCTTGAGGAGAGAATATTATTGTTATAATTTCATTATCTCTGTCAGAGCTGCAGGCTCTGAGCTCCAGCTGGTGGGATGGAGGCAGGCTGATTTAAAGGGAACACGTGCAGTCTCGTGTCTCCATTTTGACCAGATGTTGGAGGGTCAAACAGTACCTAAAAACTGGCTATTGCCGGACGTTACAATTTGTTATGCATTCATGTATTTATTTGGTCATTTACAATACATTTCTTTAGCAAATAACCTCCTAAGACCCTGTATCAAATGAAGGTGTTAACTTCCTACTTTCTTTACTTGCATTTCATCTTAATTTTGCACTTATTTATTATCTAACAGAAAATAAACACTAACACCAAACACATGGATTAACATGAATTGCGGGGTGGGGGTGGGGGTGGGGGGAGGGTCAGAGCATGATTCAGAACAGATCTGTCTCCGTTGACATTTTTTTTATTTAAATCTTTTTAGTAGATTTCACAAAACCAAAGCGACGGCTACAAATAATACATAATCACACAAAAAGTGTACAAACTTGCAGGACTAACCCAGCAGATACATCAACGTCTTCCTTTTAAATCATATTATTTAGAGCTGATCATTTCAGAGCTTGTAACTGTGATGATTCCAACGGATCAAAGGAAATCCATTTTAGATTCTTTAGGAAAATACAGTTGACCCCTTCAGCAGCAGCTGACAAGGCCAACAATAACAAAGCTGCATCAGAGAGCCCACTGGACCGTAAACATCTCAGACATGGGTAAGGCCAGGCTGGTCACTGTCAGAACCTAGAAGAGACAACAGATGTTTGTTTTATCTCCCCATTAAACTGATTCCAGTGCTTAACTGGAGCTAGAGTCTACTAAACACCAGTTCTTTGTGTTTGCACTGCTGGAAACTCAGAAAACTCTCCCCCGGGCTAAAGAAAATAACTGCTTCCATTGGGAGCATGAGGCAGGCTAAAGGACAACAAAAAGGTTTTAAATCTCTGAGTTTGTTTCACTTTTACCCTGTCTAATTAGGGTCTAACTGTCTCCCTACCCTCTGGTCCACTCAGAACACAACAGGGGGGGTCAAACATTTACAGGGAAAGATGATTTGCATAAGTTTATTTATATAATAATCACAGAAAAAATATCACAACAGAAATGAGGTGATGAGGTGGCTCAGTAATAGCTCACTGGTTCTAAACTGAACCAGTTCTAAAATGTCTTCAGTGGAAAAACCCTGAAAGGTGGTTTGGATAGAAGGATGAAAAAGCCTCACAGGTAAAATAGCCTAATCAGGTTGCTGCTTTAAAATAATCAAAGAAAAGGTTTCGACTTTCAGAAAACTCACCTTAGAGTCAGCACAGTATGTAAATTCACTGGCTTCCACCCCGTTTGCCAACACATGGAGAGGTGGTGAGGGCACCCCGAACACCTGAAGTCCCCCCAGAACCAGAGCGTCCAGGTCCCCGTTCAGCCTCTGAGGGTCACTAGAAACCTGGGACTGAGGAAAACAGGTTGATAAATCTCAAACGCATATTTTATCTGAACACATCTCGTCCCTTACCTACCTCGCCAGCAGTAAATATCAGATAACTATAATTTTCCATTTCAAATGTGTCCAGACTGTCTCCATCATCCCAGAACAAGACCCCCCTGGCTTGACCGCTGGCTGACAGTGCCACCGTCAGGAAGAAAGCGTTCCCGCGTGAAACCGTGGTCGTCAAAGCTGGTTCCTTCACAGGGAAACGATCAAAGACAGCATGACGTCTTTTCAACAGGTTTTAAGTGT